CACAGTTCGCAATCGAATAAGAACGTGTAGCATTAGTTCGTTTTTGTTCTAATGTGGTTCTGTCTTCTCGGATCTCTGAGGCTATCAGTGGTTTAAGGACGCCGTTCCCTTGCACAGAGCTGAGCGGCCGCGGCTGGTGGTCAGCGGAACGCCTGGTGATGAAGGCTCCTAGGTCCTAGGCTGGAATAGGAGCGAAAAGTGACGTTATTCAGCATCCAAGAGACAAGCCCTTCTCTCGTGCGGTTTGCACTGTGTTGGCATGTGCTTACGCCCTTAGAGGTGTCTATACCTGTACCGCCACGACCAGCTCAGCACCTTGGCCCTGAGAGAAGCGTGCGTCCCTGCGGTGCCGGGGTTGACAAGACTCACGTGTTGCCGTGCTGACAGCTGCACTAAACGTTCACAGTCATGTCGGCGCAGGCTAGGAGATGAAATCTCGCGACCTCGTCCTTGATGGTTGTGGCTGCGTGACAGGCTGCAGTCAGCTCCTCTCCCTGCATGCTGCGGCTGTCGCAAGCCGCGCATACATCCCGCCGCGAGGAGGCCGCACGGCGGGCTCGTGCCACAGCAGCTTTGGTCACCATGGCATCCACGACATGATCAGTTGACGGTTGTGCCAAGATATCCAATGCAAGATTAGTTCCACAGTTCCACACGAGGGTGCCCAAATCATCCCAAATCCTGAAAGTGCCAAGGTGTGCAGTCTCCGATGCGCCGTGCCATGGGGGCTGTTCAGCTGGGGCAGCTATCAGAAGCAGTCAAGCTTCTCTCGGAGGCCTGGGCCGTGTGCTTCCTTCGGAGAGACTCAGCTCTTTTGCTCAGGCCATCCTCTCCGCATCCGCAGAGAACGAGGCAATCCAAGCACTCCGTGCGTGGGCAGGGCAACCCGAAAGCACACGGCAGAGCCACAGCCTCACCAGGCCCGACCGACAGCACCGCAAGCCCCATGGCCCCACAACCCAGAGGACCGAGCGCGCAAAGCTCGAGGAGGAAGGCCCTACCACGAAGGCTAAGACGGATAAGAGCACCAGCGGACAGGAGGTAAACGGCTCAAGGCGACTATCTCAACCGTTTTTCAAGCGCTGGGTAATTTCTACACATCCGGCGTATTCAGGAGAGCTGGAGCTTTCGGCTTGGTGCTTGAGGGGCAGAGGAACAGCCGGGGGTGCAATGTGATTGAAACGAGCTGGGGGAGGTGAGTGTCAGGTGCGTGCGGGATGCGTTCGGGGCAGGAAATGCAATTCCTCTACATCATCTCAGCTTTGCTTGGCTGCTCGCGAGCCATGGCAAGCTTCAGCAAGACGCAGGCGACAGGAGCACGCAGCACGTGGCAGGCCCTTCATCGTGTTTGGTGTTCGTCTCAGCCATCATGGACAACACTCTGCCATCTCGGGGCATCATACAGGTCACATGGCACAATGTGGTGCAGGGTGCGGGCCCCTTCTCCCAAACCCCAAGTCTTTCCGGCAAGCCAGCTACTGGTAGATTTCAGATGATGCCCCCCACAAAGCCTGGGCTCCGGGCTCGGAAAGTCGTGGGAGTCAGTCCTGCTGTAATGCTTGCCTCACTTCTCATGCCTCGGATGCTCAATGGGAAGGCGGCACGTGCGGAAGCGTTGTGTCTGCGTTCCGAGCTGCGCAACCAGCTCTGCCAGTGGCAGGCGCGTGTGAGCAAGATGGAGGTTTTGATGGAACCTCGAAGCTCGCACGCCCTCGCGCGGCTCGCACTGGCAGGATGCCTTCGCAGATGCAAACGATGCCTTGGCGCTGATCCCGAGCCTGGCTCGAGCCCATGCAGCACGAGGCCAGGCAGCCTCCACCTACACTGTGTTGGAACACTTGAACTGTTCGACGGAGTCTGTGTGCTTTGCCGAAGACCCAGCCCCAGCCCGACATCGCTGTCGTCAGCGTTGTGTCTTCATATAGAAACAGCACAGTGGTTTAATCACTATACCACCACCGGTCGCAAGGCTTTCGAGCGGGAACCCCCTCTCAGAGCCAACGTGCCCGAATGGAGACTTGGGCAACATGAGGCGGTGTTGCCTTCAGTGGTCTTGCCGTCGCCTTGTTGTTTCCTTGTCTGCTTGTTTTCGGTGTTGTCTTCATTTTCTGCTTTCCGTTCTCTTTGTCAGTTGTGTCTCGCGCTTGCATTGCTTTTCGGTGCCTTCCTTTTGTCGTGGTGCGGTCTGATCCTGAAGCCGTCAGGCCGGAGGTGATACCGCCTGCTTTGACCAGACTGCGCTCTCGCTTGTCCGTCAACTCCATTCGTTTTAGAGACAAGAGTTACTGTTCGCTGTAGGTCAATGAAAAATGAGGAGAGTGTCCCGGTGGTGACACATGACTGCGATATCGCATGCGAAGTAATTAGTGCAATCCATCGCGCTCCGCTTGTGGCGGCTGACTTTGTCGTATGAGAGGCGAGGCCGCTGAGCAGCTGGGCTTTCTGGCCGAGGCATGGCATTCAAGGAAGACACCAAGCCGAGCCCTCAGCCATGAGCGTTTCACATTGGAGGCGGCCAGCAGCTGGGAGACAGCAGAGCTTCTGGGAGGCGGGTGGCTTAGCTAGTTCCATTGTTGTCGCACCGACAAGACATGCCGAAGGCATTCCGCAGGCGGCAGCCCGAGCAGAGGAGCGCCCTGTGGTTGGACAGTCAGTGTATTTGGCACATTGTGCCTGGGCGGTCGTGGCTGACATAGCATGGCACTGTCAGGAACAGCGAACCTGTACCCATAGTTGCCTGTGTCGGTGGGGCACTGTGAGGGTTCAGTGCTGAATCACGAAGGCGTGCAGACAAAAGCTGGAGAAGTTCTTCGCCGAGCAAAATGCCAGACGGCAGGCACCTGAAGGCGTTGCGGGGCCGTCATCCATCCTAAAGCTTTGCCTTTGCTTGACTTGGATCTGTACGAACCTGTTTTTGGAACCGCCTGCCGTTTTGCTCTGGAAGGCAATTCCAGAGCCGACCCTGAAGAAGGCTGGCGCCGTCACTCTGTCGAAACTGGGTACAAGCGTGGGCGGTTGCGGCATACGTCTTCTCGCTACTATGCCATCGATGTCAATCGAAGTCACGAAAGGAGTGAGTAGGTGAGTACGTATGCTGAGCCTTGCGAGCCGCTCCTGGCAAGCAACCGAAGGACCTGCGGAACTATCGAGGCAGAAACGAAAACCAGATACAGGCATCGTGCCATTCTAGGACGGCGCCTTCCATTAATCAGGATGGAGTTGCAGACTGTGTGCCCTAGCCTCTTGCGCACCATGCGTTGTGCCAGACTCATCTAAGGTCAGGGTTGGCAAGGGAGGAAGGCGTCTTGGCCGCATTTGGCCGCTGGGATGAATCCAAACTACCCAGTAGCTGCAGTGAGAACTGACCAAGTCTACAAGGCACGTGCATCCGCGAGCGGTTTTCCCGGCGCAGATACCCAGGCGCGCGGCATCGGTTTTCGTGACATATGAGTCTAGAGGGATGCCTAAACACTTTGTAGGGCTGCTTTCGAGATGCATGAATCGCAGGCACCGAGCCTTAACCCAAGCGCCACACTGCAGCAGCACCTGCAGGCCAGGATTAGCAAGCAGATGGGACTAGCGGCCAGTGAGGTTGTTATCATTTTGCCGTAGCGGAAGCGGTCTTGTTTTCAGGGGCCGCAACGAGGACATCACGGGTTGTCACGGGTGTGCAGGGGATTCCGCTGCACTCAGGCAGACCGCGCGTGTGCACCCTGTCCATCAGGTCCTGCAGCTGCCAACGACTGGACTTCCCACCTCAGATACCCTGCGCAGCGCGTATCGCCTCCTGTCCAATACAGTGAAGTAGTGGCGACAGAGCGGCGCCAAGCTAAGCCACCCTTGCTCAAACATGTCCGTTCGATGAGGAAAGCTTGCGCTTCAACAACATCCAGACAAAGGACACTTTCAGTTTCTGGCATGACAAAACATCAAGAGCTCCAGCATCCAAGCCGAGAGCCAGGATAGATTTAGCTTCGTCACTACTTTCTGGGCAGGAGGCTCGACAGCAGCGTTCCAGGCACTTTGCCGAAGTGTTTCGTTCTGCCACCGCTCATCACATCCTGTACTTCACTAATGTCTTGATCGGCCCGCGAGCGCTGTGTCAGCTGTTGTCTCTGAGCATTGCCGTGGCATGCAGGAATCATGCAGGGTCTAAGCCGCGGATACCAGTGCCAAGCTGGGCCCGACAGTGCAAGCTCATACCTCAGGCCTTGCAGAACGCCTACGAAGCGCTTCTGAAAGTCGTCTCGCAGTAGCAGCACTGTGCTTTCGGATAATCTTGAAAAGTTCGACTGTTCGATTCTGCGAGTTTCCCAACATACGTTAGGCTGTGTCTGCTGATGCATTGACGTGCACAAAGTCTAGGAGTCTAGCCGGTTCAATGAGTCAGTGAGCGGCCGTAACGTATGGGCCTGCTCTGGCCACTGTACAGAGAGCGAGGCATAGAACATCGCAGAGCGATCTGAGCAAGACGAGAAAAGCATGTCCTCTGAGGGGGTTTTGGAAGGGTCAAGCAGAAGACGGCACAATAAAGAAGCACACAGGCAGCGACGACAAGATCTCCACGGAACGAGTCTTCGAAACTTGCACCGCATCACGCTTCTCCGTCTGAGGTCTGGACCGGTGCGTGCTATGCGCCTTTCAGAAGAAGGGCAGGACTTCTGCACAGATCGACTGCAGTCCTGAAATAGCCAGACGGGCCTAACTACACGTTTCAAGCGTGATTCCCTGCAGATTCTGCAGGGGCTGCACCTGGTTCTGCACTGGCGGACCAGCTAGCGGACTAGCGTATCGCCTTCAACTGTCACTGCAGCTGTGGCCCGACGCTTCATGACATACGATGACCAGACACCGTGATGCAGCTCGAAGTCACCCGCCACCGAGTGTCCCGAAGTTACGCAATAACCCGACCCATAAAGCTGTCAGAGCCCCTGGGACAAAACGTAGAATCAGTCTCTTGTGCACCTTGTCTGAAAGGCTTGAAGGAGCCTCCCACATGAATGCTGGTGTTGCCAGTGACTTCGGCTATGTCGCTGCCGCCTACCCTTCCCTCCACTGACCTCGACAATGCAGCTGAGATGTTCCCGCCGTTCCCTGGCACAAACACAAGTTCACCTTGTTGCAGGAATGTTTCTGGCCCTGGCCCTGCTCAGGGTTTAACTTCATGACTTGATGTCCATTCCAGGTTTGAAGCTGCTGGCTGCGAGGACCTGTCCTCTGGAGCTTCGCCCAAGTTTACAGCATACCTGTGTCACTGCATCATGGAGCTGGTTTGGGCATGGTTTTACTTCGGACAGCTAGGGAACCCACCTCTGCACATATGCATGGTGTCACCTGCATGTATGTACGTCTATTTAAGTTCTAGGTTCGTTTTCGTTTTATGCCGGATATATGCACATGCAGAGACGTAGATGACAGAGAAAGGCATCGACTGTGTCATCGTGTGGCCCTGACTTCGTCCAGCAGCTCAGGATCCTTGCGACGAAGTGCTTCTGCCGATGGCGCCTCTACTTCGTCTTCCATGATGTCGTGCAACTCAGAAGGCAGAGAGCTGGATGCGTCATCCCAGCTACTTAACTTAGTCTTGCTGGTTGCGGGGCGACCGGTGTTGCTGGACGCACATGCGCATGACAGTGATTTCCGAGGCATGTCCGAAGTTTCAACTCGTCTTCAAAGTCGACGTTCTGGTAGCCTTGGGCGCACCTTCGGCGGTCGCTCAGTGGCCAATGCTAGCTTGCTGAGCCTTGCCATAAAAGGCTAACAGCCCAGGATCAAGCCTCGGCATCCTCGCGCGGAGCCTGGGTGCTGACCTCCAGAGAGCTGCTGCAAGAGGCGGCTTTTGTTTGTTCTTGAGATCCGTAACTGCTCGTAGACATTTTTCAGGACTTGTGGATTACAGGATTGACTGCAGCACAACGATGAAGCTTTCGCCTCGGGCTTTGCTTGCGCAAATTGCCAGACTCTTGCATGCGAACGTCGGCTGGACCAGAAGACCCGGAGCTCACTGCAGCTTAGAGGCATTCAGCCACGGAGGAACGTATCAGTGAGCCAATCGCACCAAGGGCAGCCATACAAATGTGCGCAATTGCGTAGACATGAGCTTCGACAGTTCTGCGCCGGAGGCTGTGTGCGCTGCTCCGTCCTCAGCTAAGGCACCGATTAGGGCTCGGCCTCCGAAGGGTCAGCCGCGCACTGGATGCTGGCGTCAGCGTGCGTACGTGGATGAGGAGGTCGAGCAGAAGGGTTTCCATGGCAATGGCTTGCTGATGTTTGCCGTCTTCCTTGCCAGCACAGTTGCTTGAACACACAGGTGCATAAATCAGTTTTGCATGAGCTGAACGCATCCGCTGCCAGCACGATTGCCCAAAAGAGGTTTAAACTTCAGCACTCTCGGCGAATCAAAGCAGGGTATCGCCATGGCCGTACGTCCAGAGCGCGTTGAGGACTGGTTCCATCTGGCCCCAGGCCTTCTTTCTCAGGATGGCTGGGAGACCAGCTTGGCGAGGCCGTTGTCAACCCTCTCGCACTGTGTGAGCCCTTGGGGTGGCCACCTCATCAAATTTTCCTACCAGGACACGGCTCTTTCGCGAAGTTTCCCGAAGCGCTCTCGTCAAACTCGAGTTTGGTGAGCTCGCAGGATATCACCATCGCCGATGCTCCGGAGAACACGGCAGGTGTACTGGTCAGGCCGGAAGTGCGAGCATGGTCACAAAGCGAAAACCCGGGTTCGAGTTTCGAAGTCTTGAACCAGCACCTCGACGAAAAATGCGACTGCAGTGGATCAAGGCAGTGGCCTTGGAGCCTCCTAGCTGCGTCCTAGCTTAAAACGGTGCATCTAAGGCTGGCCCCGGGAGATGCTGTTGTGAAGCGCTGGGCCTCTTGGCGGTTGCTTCGGCTTTGCAGCGTCCTTTTCGGGGACCTTGCTGGCCACTTCATGAACTATTTCTTTTACGACCCGGCGAAGCAGACCGAATTGCATCAGAGAGCGCCTCGACAATTTCTCGTGCATAGCTTCGTGCTCAGTATGCGTCGGTTCCCTGTGCAGGTGAGACGAGACTACCCAGAACGGGGCGACAGTGCCTGCGCATTCTTCGATCAGACTGAGCCTCTCGAAGGACTCTTGGCGCCTTGGCGAAACCACCCTCCAGGGAATCCAGACAACGGTTCTGATGTAAGCTGCTCCTTCAGCTTCTTGAGGTGTGTCGTCCGCAAGGGGAGCCAGATAAGTTTGTGGTGAACTGCGTGCTTCGTGTACCAGAAGACAAGTTTGCCAACTGGGCGAAGATCCACTACATGATGTTGTTGCCTGGCGAATGGAAGTAAGTAAGTTGTTTGCTGCAGCTTACGGTTTGCGGGTCGAAGTCGCGCCAGTCTGGGTGTAGGAGCCGCCGGCACATTTGGACACCGGATTTGGATCGGTACCTCAAGACAGTTGCGAGCCCACAGGCTCAAGGCTAGCAAGGTTGTTGGTGACGCAGACACTCAGGTCTCATGCCAGACAGAGCATAGCCGACTGCACCACAATATTGGCACAAAAAATGAAGAAACTCTAACAATACTAACATAGCGACCTCCGTTTGGAGTTGCGAAAGGACAGCAATGGGCGTTGGCTTGAGTTGTTTCATGCTTCTTGCCGGCGAGACTTTCTGCAGTGCACTGCAGTTCCCTGCAGGTTGGAGTCGGGCCGCCGTACAGCGCAGTGGTTCTTGAATCGTCCAGGGATTTCGGAGATGCGCTCCATGGACCAGCAGTTCTATGTTGAACTTCGACCGCACATCAGGTTTTTTGAGCTCTGCAGGGTGTTTTATGCTATGTCACACGTCTCACGGTGCGAGTGCCTCGGAGCAGAAAACCCAGGTCCTGGCCATTCAAAGTTTCAAGAGGGGAATGCCCCAGCCGCTTGGATGAACTGGAGCGGCACTCATGGCCAAAGCACAGTGCCACCGAAGGAGATACTTGCACCATACCCCTTGATCCTTCTCACAGTGGGCAGTTCTTCCATTTCTGTCCTTCCTCTCTCTCGAGCTGGAACTTACTACCCACACCCGTATCCACATGCCCCTTTTCGCGGCAGTAAAATGGCTGGCAGCCGTTCAACAACCTGTGTGTGCCGCTGGGGAAGGCATGGGTATTTGCATGCCAATGAGGCTTCCAGTGCAGACTCCAAGCCCGGGGGATGCTGTCACACGCATTGATGCCGGCCAACGCATGGGCAGCCTGTCTTCAAGCTCAAGGGCGTTTCCATGCAGCGTGATCTCAACCTTCAAAGGAGTACCCTGATACGCATTCAGGACTCACCACTTGGGTTCGCTATCACCCAGGCGCGGATCTGGAAGCTTACAGTACTGGCAGCTCTGAGTCTTACATGCCTTCTGAACAGTACAGACCAGCGCAGCGCCCCAGTCTACATGTGATGGTCGGCAACCTCGTTGCAGGCTGCAGTTTACGTGCTGTGATATTCAGGCATGACGGGCAGCAGCAAGTTCTACCTGTCGGACTACATCCAGCTGTTTCTGGAGATGGGTTTAAAAAAGACGAGTTCAAGACTGCAAAGGGTCTGAAATGTATGCAGTGCTTTGGGCCTGCCTCGGCACTGGGTTTTTGAATTCCAATGTCAGCCCAGACTAGAGCTGAGAAGAGACAAAGCTCCAAAGCTCCCTGCAGCCGAAGGAGAACATTGGTGCGAGTGCTCAGACATACAACTTACTCGATGGTCGCCAGCTCGTTCCGTATCAATGTGCCTCGGCTGCCAGCTATGTTGGCCCATGTCAACGTTGAGCATGCTCTTGTTCGGCATTGATCGTGTGACTTGGCTAGCGTCACCAACTCACTCCGACTCCGACTTTATTTCCCGCCCCTTGACCTGCTCGCAAGTGGAATGTTTGATCGCAGCCTGAATGCGGCATTCAGGCGCTTTGTTTCCGACAGATCGCACGCTGCTAGCTACAACATATCCCTCCCCCAAAAAATTGTGGAATTGTGGAGCCCGGCTGCAAACACCTTGGCAACCCCTCGCTCGAAGCCATTGTTAGTTCCAAACGCTTCGAATTCCAGCTGAGGCGTGGTGGCTCGGGAGGAGTGGAACTCTGTTCGTGCTCGCTTCTTTGAAGCCTTCACTCTACAAAAGACGGCCTACCGCCGTGCCAATGGGGGATCCACTGCACCGGGCGTGCACGAGGGTGTAGAGCCTCGCTTCCTGCCCGATGCGGATTTGGCTCTCCTGAGGGAGCGCATAAAGTTTGCACAGCAGCAACCCAAGATCGTCGTGCGAAACACCTTCGTTGAGATGGATGAGGAGGACGACGAGGAGGAAGACGAAGAGTTCAGGGTTGAGCGCAACACCAGGCGACCAAAGACAACTTCACACCTGCGAGTGGACTGCTCCGTACTTGTGGCGTGAAGAAGCCCTAAGCCTCCCTGTCCTCGGAAGGCTAGCAGCAGCTAGCAATACTAGATGTTTGCTTGATGCTTTCGGAAGCCTGCACACCTGCACCTTGCCATACAGTTGGGTGCAGCCTGGCTATTACAGCAGCCTCCATGAGCTCCGCCCTCGCTAGGACCGTCTTGTACAGTGGAGGGTTGGACATGGAAGGGTGACGGTGTCGAGATTTCAGTTCGCAGCCCAGCCGCACCATGTAAAGAATCGGCACAGCTGGGAACCATGAATCTGAAGTGTCTGGAGTATAGCGGAAAGTCACGAATGCACGAATGCCGATGATGGTGAAATTCATTCATCATTCATCATGACTTTAGTGTATGTGCATACATGCAAGTGTTGTACAGAAGCACCTTTGCGACATCAATATCTTGTGCACAAACTTGGCTAGTACAGCTCTGCACCCAAAGCCGTGCAGACAACATGTGCCACAAGGGATGCCTCAGAGGCACGGCTGTTTAATTAAACCTCGAGCCGACGTCTGAGTTCTTGCCGCTTATGACGCCACAAACACTGCAGAGGTTTTTGAGGAACTGGCGTCGGCTTGGTTTGTCGTGCACTACTCACCCTGACACGGAAAACAGAACGGAAGTTTGAGACTCCAGTTGAAATCTTGGGAATATCTCCCGCTTCCAGCAAGCTGCAACCCACTGATGCCAGGAACTCGTCAACCTTCGGATCGAGCTGCAGCAGTGCAAGCGGCAGCTAAGTCATCAGAGTGAGCTCCGGCAGGTCTTACAGGTGGGAACGGGGTGACAAGACCAAGCTCTCGTGAGCAGAGCGGTTTCTACCATGCCCAGACCTTGACGGCTTGTCCTGCTAGGCGACCCTCGACAGCGAGCGGGCCTCTTGATGGAATTGGGGTGCTTTCGGATTGCTGCGCCTGCATGATGTGCTTTGCTGCCTGTTCTCACGATGTCCGCGAAAGTAGGCATCTACTTACTTTGCAAGGCTCTGAAAGTCCTGAGTGTTTGGGTACCCGGTAGTGAACGCATAGGCCGCAGCTTACCATGGGTTCGTAGCGTGAAGGGTATTTGCTCGGTCAGGCCTTCACGACTTTGGCATGCGCCCAAAGACGAAACCGATTATACAGCGAGGGTCAGAGTTGCTTCGTGCTAAGGAGAAGTCAGCGGGACTTGTGAAGGACAATGAAGAGCTGCAAAGGCGTGACGGCTTTTTCAGCATGCAGCAGTGCAAGGTGAAGTTTCAGGTTCCTGCCCGCGTAAGCTGCATAAGTAGCCGATTCTTCCAACTTGCGACATGGAACAGCTCACGATCGGATGGCCAGGGCAGCCGAGGAGACGCTGCAAGGCCGCTGATGCCGTGGTTTACCATGGTTTGCCTCTGTTATGTTATGCGATTGCAAGCCTGGAGTTTGCAACGGTGCGTTAAGTCAAGTCATGCTTAGTTCAAGTGCTCGTCGGTGTGCCGAGCCTGCAGAGCACTGGGTGACGTATTCAGGCCAGCGGCAGGTGAGTGATGCGGAAACAACGGAACTTGAATCTCAGGCCTGGCGCTTTCTGAATGCAGCTGTCGAACTGTTCATTATTTGCAGTCAGTTCATCCAAGCGTAGTTGCTGTTGCTTTCCCTTCCGTGCAGGTTGATGCATTGCTGTGCCTGAAGAGGCTCCCGTTAAAGCAGAGACCTGCAGTGCCCCTCTGCGAGCGCAGAGTCTCCTTCCAGGCAACTCTACCAGCGAATTCAAGCACTGGAGCAGGAGCGGCCAGAGCGGCCCCGTATCCATGACGAATGCGCAAACAAGTCGTTAGATCTAAAGCGGAACCTTGGATCTTCTGCAGCCCCACTACACTACATCTGCCTATGACAGCTTTTTCGCTGGTTATCAGAATGGAACCTAGGACCTAGCAAGATCGGCTAGATAGGGAGCCCTAAATGGGAACGAGCACGGCCAGCTTCTCAGACTCTGGAGCTCACAACCAAGAGTGTCTTGCCTGGTGGTGCAGAGCATTTAGTCAGCCATGTGTTGCAACTACGGCAACTCAATGGAGACTTGAAGCTGTTGAAAATTCAGGTTCATCAAAATGCACTGCATGTCTAAACTGCTGATTTCGGCTTTGTTGCGAGGAGCGTGCTGCCCTGTTGACTCAGCGGCAAGAAGCAGCAAGAGCCTTACAGTAAGCTCGAAGCAACATTTTCCATGCCGCGGCGAGGCTTTGACCTGCACATCTTGGCTTAGAGTCCATGCTTGAGGTCAGCGAACGCTGCTGCATCGCATGTCTGGACCACCTGGCGAATACAGCACCTCAGCATCATCAGACAAGACACATTGTGACATGTTAAGACTGTGCATCGAACCAAGCCAGCCAGTCTGCATGCCAGCCTGAGCAAGGACGCCTGCAAGATCCCGCGACTGTACAGACATGGTACTCCAGCGTGATCCGGGCCCAGGTTCTGCTTCGCTGCCGGCATCTTTGCGTCTGTGATGCTTGGTCAGGAAGTGGTCAAGCTAAGCGAGAGTGCTGCATGAAGCCATCTTTTGTTGCGGCAGCGTGCAACGCAATAGCCTCGTTGTTCTAGCATGCTTTCGGTGCGTGCTCTCCCTGCCAAGGATGAATGCGCACCAAGAGTGACAGAGTGCCCCATTTGTCGGCAGAAGGTCCGCGATCGGCTAACCGTGTTCATGCCTTGAGCAGGCGGAAGTCCCCATTCAAGGCTCAACTTTTTACAGCAGTGAGATTTTGCACTGAAGGAGCCGCTTGGCTTGGGCTCCTAACTCCTAACTCGAAGCCAGCGAAAGCATCTTCCGACATGTCGGCCTTTGTTTTTCACGGCATTGGGCCGACAGCACAGCTGGCAAGCTGAAAATCGCTGATGCTGATCATAGTGTTTGCTTGATTGTCTGACAGTGCACCAGGTCCTTGAGGCCCCTGATATCGTTTCAGACTTCGGAAGTGCTTTCGGCAACAGAAAGAGAGTATCCGCATCGAGGGGGCAAGGACCTGAGGCCGTGGCACAAAGTCCAGCAACAGGCCAGACATCAAGCTTGTTGAACACAGTGTGCAAAGCAAAGCACACATGGCTTCCGGCTAACATTCGTAGCGGGATGCTTGTACATGGGCCACCATCACCTGAAACTGATTCTTCGTTTTGGCTTAGATCGTCCAGGACCACCTGGACCGGACTAGTGGATGGTGGATGCATGAATGACTGTCAGTGCATGTAACCTGTGCTTTCGGCTCGGCTGAGAATCAGTTTTTCAAGACAATTCTGACTTCGATGCCAGCCCGGAAGTGGGTAAGTGCTTGCACGGGCTCAGTGGGGTCTTTCGCAGCAAAGGCTGTAAAGAGGTGCCTCGCTGTGAGAACAAAGGTGCATTGAGTGCCCTCCGGGATGGGCGTCTTGGCCTTTCAGTGCACCAGGTGTGGTTGCAAGTATCATGCAGGACGCGCATGCTGTGTATCTCGTGGCCGCGACTCCGAGGGACTGCCTTTTGTGGCAGGCTCGGCTGGACTGATGCAGGTTCTGGTGTAGCTCTGCTGTGCTGGTACCATAAGCTCGGACACTTCGGCTGGTCAACAGACAGTACCGTGAAGGTGAAGTCAGGTGCGCCGGCCACGCCGCTGGGCGTCCAGGTGGCAGCAGCTAGTTAGGCCAGTAATCTTATAGGGTCCATGCCAACGTCGAAGGTGATGCCTCCCTTTTTGCCGGCACTGGCCTTCGATGAGTCGGCGCCCTCAGCTGCGTCGTGGGATCAAGAGTTCCAGCACAGAAGCCGAGCACTCCGAGGACGAGCGCCTTGGTGGCAGCAGGAAGTGGCGGCCAAGGTTCGCTGATTCAGGGCGTTGTTAAGCTGTGAGCTTGATGGAGTTGTGGCTGCCGCGGTAGACCGCAGGCCTGCCGAGCATCAATGTCTATCGCTGTTTGGGTCCCGGTGTCCGACTTTCGCTAGTGGCGATACAGTTAGGTTGACATTGCAGAGCGAATGCAGACTGACGGGCACTGGCACGGTATACCAAAAGTCCGAACGACAACGAGGTCTACATGGATCCTGCTTTGCAACAGCTTCCATGCCGACACAAGCTGCCGGGGCAGAAGATATTTCAGCGGTGCCCCGACTTCGACCTTTTGCGCATCCTGTGTGCTTGACTGGCCAAGAATGCATTCAGCACAGAATGTGCTAGCCAATCTGCATGCCGGCACTAAGAGAGCGAGAGTGAGAAGGTACCAGCATGTAGCTTTCTGCGGGGCGGTTTCGGCTTCGTTCTGGCTACTGTGACACAGGCTCGTGGGGGTAGCGAGCGCACGGTCATGCGGGGTTTGACAGTGCTAGGCCGGCAATGTTTTCCTCTTCGATCTGCGCAAAGCTCGCAGTCAAGGCCTGCGGGAGCCATGAGGTCAGTCTAGTCAATGTAGTAATGTTCGGCAGCGAGGGGCACATGTCACCTCCTTGCTGAGGCGACACAATCGATGCCTCGCACGAGACGGGGCTGCTTTCTGGGGCACCGTTTTCCATGCTGTGAGTGGTGCCCAGCGTACCAAGAAGCCGCTTGACTTCCTGCCTGCTCCCATAGCAGCAAGACGAGAGAAAGCTGTGTGAGGTCCTCACAATTCGGAGGATGGTATGTTTCTGCTGGGCGCACGGGGGTCACTCAAGATCCTGCAGGCCAGCAGTCTTTGACCAAAAAGACAGTGGGGGAAGAGTGCGATGTCCATGCCGCGCCCTTCTCGCACAGCAAGAGGTTCGAGAGACTGGCGGAGATGTACTAAGCTGCGTCGTGCTTGCTGAGATTGTTCGGCTCTGAGACAAAACATGCCAAGTTTGTTAAGACATGCAAAGCCCACTTCTGTTCAAATATTCTTGGGATCTCTGTTGCCAAGGTTCTGGGGGCTGGCGAAGTCCCCGTTTGGCTGAGAGAAGGCCGTAGATTCTTGTGTGGAGAGGGATGTCCGGGACAGTGTACAGACGTGCCACGGCCAGAACTAGCCTCCGCAGCGATCCAGAAATGTCTTGACGGCGGCGGGCATCTCCACTGCCTTTGCTCATCTTCGACGATCTGCCGGTTCTCCATTTGCCCGGCCATACGCTTTCGGCGGGCGCACGTATGACGTAGTCGGAGCACCCTCCACGAGTTCGCTTGTCGGCGAGAAGGGGCGCGAGGATTCTTCGCAATCCGGCAGGAGCGCAGCGCGCCTGCAAACGCCCCACCTACTGGTGAAGCAGGGTGTAGACCCGACGCGTACCCTCGAGCAATCTGTAATCCTGCAATCCGTCTTGGGCGCATGATTTCACATTAGCCGAGTGAAACTGCGATAAGTCAATAATTTAATGGAGCCCTTCCAGTCCGGGCCGAGGCAGAACAACATATTCAGAGGCCGGCACAGACGAATATGCAAAACAGCCTTGAGAAATCCGAATCTCCAGCAAGACATCGAAACAAAGGAAGGCCATCAACAATCATGTTTAGCCAACGCTTACCAGACGCCGTGCAACTCAGCGCCTTCAGCCTACAAGCGATTGCTTGGCCATGCTTGCTGTCACAAGTGGTCACTATATCACACATGACATAGCCTGCTCATTGCCCCGCATCTCGCCATGCCCTGCCAGGTGCGACAGCGGACGAGCACGAAGAGGGCACCAGGCAATTTAAACGGCAAAGCCTGAGACCCCAGCATATCCACTAGCTGCTTGATGAAGGTCGTGTTCTGGTGAACAGAACGACAGTGATCCATTGGTTCTGGCGGCAGCTGCGGTGCGCAGCCAAGTCATCCCGTTCTGGCACAGAGTGGCTGCATGCAACGCACAAGTCACAAGGCAGGCTGCCGGGTACAAGGCCACGTTCTCGGCGCCGGTACTGCCGCAGTCGCGGCAAACGTCAAGCGCAGGCATCTCCACTTTGCTCCAAGGCCTAGCCGCTCTCGGACTACGCGGAACTGCGGCGCTCGCGGTTCCTTGGCCAAGAGTGGACAGTCCGAATGCTGTTGTATGAGCCTGTCCCGTGAGAAAGCCTTGTATTGTAGCAGCGGATACGAGCAAAGAAGACTCAATGTTCCTTCGACGTCTTGGTGGAACGGGATAACGGGAGATGGCGTTTGTTGAGGAGGCAGCAGTTCTCGTTAGTTTGCTGTCCTCTCTTGTCGTCGAGATGTACCGAAGCCTCCCCTCAACCCCCTTCCGAACTATTTCACAACTCGGAGAAGGAGGGCTATCAGGCGACAAAAATCGAATGTTCAAGGCGACCTCGTTCCGCTGTCTTGAACCTGAGCAAGCCAAAGCCCCTCCCCCTTTTTTTATTGCAAGCTCGGTCTCTCCCTTTGAGCTGAAACGCAATCCCACCGCTGCCCTGTGCCCCCAACGTCCTGTCTACTATCCGTGCACATGCTCACCCTCAGCTCATCCTCTCCAGCACGTAGGATGCCTTCTGGCAGGTTTCAACAGAGTCTTTGTACGCTCTCCTTGGTCACCAGCACCGCGCAGAGCGTCGGCGCCCTGATGGTTTATGGTCGGTGTCCAGGGTACGTATAGTTTGGAATTGGGGTCTGGCACTTTCCCACATATGCGTTCCAGTGGCTCTTGCTTCGGTGTAGGGATGGCTCCCAAACTTCCAGTCTTTGGACCGGCGAGGACGGTGCAGTCCCTCAATTGCTGATGCCCGTCCAAAATGGCAGTCCGTGAACCCGACAGGGGGGCCTTGGCTCAACAACTTGGGTTTCGAACGCCCAAACCGGAAAGCCTGAAGGATGCCGCTTCTCCGAGGAGTGAGATTCGAATCGCCGGTTGCCTGCCAGTCGACCTTTGCACTGTGGTTTCGCGCTGTTGACATGTTCTTACCAAGACAAACTGCCAACCCTGAACCTGGTCTAGACTAGACGGTCCAAGTGTGAGATTGTCAACAGCTACCTCTTAGGTGGGGTCGTCTTTACAGTTTTCGCATCGTGCTTGGCTTTGCCAGCTTGAAGGTTCACGTCAGGTTGCGGCTCCCACAAAATCGCTGCTCAGCCTTCCCTTCACACATCTCCACATCTCCGCTCGTCATTTCTGGGCGTGGGTTGAAGTCGAAGGTGTCTGCGCCGTGCCTGCGCTTGGAGCTGCTGCAGCTTGTGTCGACGCCCAAGGCCGGCGACACGCTGTTCGCCCATGTCATGTTTGCTGAAGCTGTGTGCCAGGCGGGCTCCTGGCTGTTTGTGCCTTTGGCTTCGAATCTGGCGGCGAAGTTTTGAGGCCTCGGGCCTCGCACGGCCTCGGGCCCGAGTCGAATTGGCGGTCTCTTGAATCTGCTAAGGTTGAACTGGTCGGAAGAGCTACGCCTACGACCTGAGGACCAGGTCACACCAAGCCTGGGCAGACATTCTGTGTACACGATACGGTCGAAATCCGTCGAAAGCTTCGGACCCACTTCCTCGAGAACCCTGCAATGCGGGCTCGTCCTAGCAAGGTGGGAGGCAAAAAACTTCCTCGAGAAGAGCAGGATCCGTCTTTAAGCAGATGTTAAAGGCAAGAAGAGCTTACCGATATTATTTGCTAACGTGGTTGGTGTCAAAGCAATGAACGTAACGTGCGGGGAGGCCAAAGAAGCATCACTTCGTAGCGAGACACAGCTACTCTCACTCGCGAGGAGCTCGCAGGAATGGGCGAAACGTTGCCAAGCTCTGAGAAGTTTCAGATCAAGCACTCACCAACATCATCAGCTGATGACTGTGAGGGAGATTTTGTGGCACGAGACTGCGGCTGCACTCTGTTTCTTGAGGTCCGCGATGCTGCAGGAACCTGCCGAACAGGCATCGTCCATGTCTGTCAGAGAACCCTCTCCTCCCCCTCCCCGCCGCCGGGTGCAGGACGCCGCCTTCGCAGACCCTCCCATGTGCCAGATGCTCAGAAGATTTGGAGCCTCTAGAGGGCCGCGGCCAGTTGTCGAATGATGTCATGCGCTCTCTCGCGCCAGTGCGAACAGTGCCAGTCACGTTTTGCAGCTTCAGGCTCTATGATCAACAGCCCCGGCAAAGCAGTCTCCAAGTATATTTTGTTCGTTAAGGACAAAACTCGGAGCTCGGAGCCAGAAGGGCTAGTTAGTTTTCTTAGTTTTTTGGAGCTGACAACTGGCAGCTAGCCGGATGAACATGCCAGCCTCCGGCATGTAAGCTACAGCATCAAGTCAAAGTCAGCCTTGACTTCAAGTCCACCCGAACTGCAACACAGCAACTAGCATGCTGCAAGATGGTGCCAAGGGAGGTACACAGGCTGGATGCAGCAAGGCTCAATGCTGGGCAGTGAAAGGTAAGTTATCTTCTCACTGCTGCCAGTGTGAGGTTGCCTCCCTCGTTCGCCGTCCTGCTTTCTGGCCAGTGTGCTTGTGCCTGGACAAGCCTGGCAGAAGCAACTCTGTGACTTCTAAACTTGGGAGAGTCTGTGAGCTCGTCTTATGTCAGTAATACAGGTTGCGGTCCCTGTTTTGAAGTGGATGCAGCCCTCGTGCATCCGAGGGGCCTGCTTTGCGTGGCCACAGCTTCCGCGTCGGCCTGGACGACAGGGGCTGCGAGGCCAAAGCCGCGAAGGAAATCGGGAAAGTTTGGTAGCAGCATGTGTTGGCAAGAGCCGTGTGCTTTGCACTAGGACACCCGCGACTCGCCCGACACCATCACCGGCCAGACCACCAAGACCAAGCCGGCAGCTGTCAAGACCCAAGGCACCCAGATCACAGCGTGGTGAGCGGGTGCGTACTGCATGCTCACCGAACCCCTTCCTGCATGAGAAATGCATGAATCACCGCCTGAGGTGGAATGATTTTTTCTAGGGTCGAGTTGCTGTGATGCCAACGTATCTACTGTGCTGTGTGATCTTTGGTTCGTTTTGGCTCATCATATGGCAGAAACTCGGCACCAGTCGCTATGCTCTACAAAGGTGTGTTGTGGAGTGTTTTGACTAAAGCCTTTAAGACGGAGGGGATTGGCCACTCCAGACATGGCAAGTGCGTGCTTTTGCTTGCATGTCTGGGATGCGCAGAGCAACGGCAGGTCTATGTGTTGGTGGCAAGCTGATGGCCTTTCGCTTTCTTTTTGTTTTATCGCTCTCTCGCTCTCTCTCTCTCTCTCTCTCTCTCTCTCTCGCTCCTTCTTTCTCTTTCTTTTTCTCTTTCTCTTTCTCTGTCTTCTTCCCTTTCTCTTTCTCTCTCTCTCTCTCTCTCGCTCTCTCTGGCTTGCTATATATGTATACATATATATGTATATGAATGTAATTATACCATGCGCGCATGCAATCAAACTACTGCCAAGCTTGCATGCAGCTGGCAAGCCGTGTATGTGTGGGCAGCCAAGAGGTGCCGAGCAGGCGACCTTCCACTGCCGGTGTAAGTCCTGGGTGGACCATAGAAAGGCCGGCCCGCTGTCCAATCGTGGTGCTGGCATGTGCGTATGCTCAGCCTTGAGAGCAGAGAAACAACTCCGGCAAGCAGATCGCACGATCTATGCTACGCACGTCCAATGACTGCAAAGCAGGCTGCGCACGCTGAGCGAAGAGGACCTGTCAGGTTGATGTTTGTGTTCCCCCTGAGGAGTAGTTGATCATTTTGCATGCCGTATATACTAGCGGACAGTAAGCAGAAGCAGGATTCTTGCGAAGTTGCCAGGTTCTTCTTGCTTCCTAGATCCTAGGATTCCTAAGTTTGTCTGTCCGATCCGCTTGCCTAGAAGTCGGCTCGCTTCAATGATTCTCTAGACTACTAGAGAGTTTTTGTGGATCTTGCATCTAGCCGGCTGATTCTTCGCTACGTGGTCAGCGATCACATCGAAACACAGGTGTACTTAGGAGGCAGGAGCCACTTAGACGGATGACCTGCTACTTGTAGTATGGATTTTGGAAGTGTGCATGGCCTGCTGGCGAAGCGCCTCATTCCTGATACTTGGAGCATGTCCCATTTTCAAAAACCAGCTTTGAGACTGCAAATTCCGAACTTCGAGCCTTATGGTCCTGTTCTTAGCTCCACGGCTCTGGGGTCAAACTCTTCTCCTATTGATCATTGACGCCCTTTCAAACTTTTCAAGTCGTTGCTGGGAGGAGACGCCGCTGCAGGTCCTGCGCTCGCACGGAGTGGCTGTGGTCTCTGGGGCCTTCGAGGCCGGCGGGCCATGATTTTGAAAGGCAGCAAGGCTCGGTCCTGCCTTCGGACCAGGACATGCTCTGGATGAATTTTACACAGAACTTGAGGGGTGAAGCAAAGTCATGTGGGAGGCTGCCTACAAGCGCGGTTGTCATTGTAGAGTGGAATTAGGGTGGCCAGAACTCTTTTTGGAGCATGTTTTTACTGTCTTTTTACTCTTCGGAATAAAGCGGGGCCCGAGGTTGGGCAAGTTAATCACCATGTTGGCGCTACGGCGATAGTCTGGCGCTAGCCGCTAGAACACCAAGATGTATCGTCATATGGTACACGGGTTTGTGTAACAAGTCGGAATGCTTTGTACATTGGTAGATGTGACATCATCCTTGAAGAAGATTTGAACATTGCAGCATGCAGTACAGAGTGGGCTCAAGTTGGCAGACCGAGATGCAGGTGCCGACATGCTGTCGTGTCCGCAATTGCGGAGCTGTACTTGTTTCTGCCGTCCAAACTCTTCAAGTTGTGCAAGAAACCTGGGCTCCTCGAATGTGTTCGCGCCTCCAGGCTTCCGGGACTTCATCGTTTTCGAAAAACATGACGTAAAGGTCCACGAGCGGCTCGATTCCGACGACTGCATGGTTTCAACCTTGTGTATGCGGGCAGAATCACGGCGCAAAGAATCCGAGTTGCAGCATGATGGCTAGGACGTGGCCACGCCAAGAGACGGGATGGGGGGTGACTACACAGATACAATAGTTCAACCGAAGAACGCAATAGCAGACATGAGCTGCATGTCGCAGATATCGCAATACTACCTTCATAACTCGTTGCATAATTATTTCAACTCTCCTACTAGTCCAAATACGTTCCTGCTAGACCCTTGATAAACTCTGTGCTGCAACGAATGCAGATGAAAGTGGAAGGTCAGACGGTCGTAAAGGACGTGATCGAGCCAACTGCGATCGTGCTACATCCTCACGGGAGCCAAGCATCCCACAGGAGGTGATCCGGCTGGAGCCAAGTCGCGTTGGCAGTTCGGTGATCAAGCGACCGCAGACGGACAGGAGTGAGCCTGAGCGAGCATCCAGCTCTAGAGTCTAGAGGCCCCTCAACACATCGTGATCGACCCACGCAACCAGGATGATGTGGTCGATGTGTGGCGGTACATGATCGCCTCAACTACATCACTGCACCTTTGAGGGACGACACCTCGCAGCAGCAAGTGTTGATGACCATTGCCTTTGTAACGGTCCTGCGGGCGATGATGACTGAGGTGGGCGAGACCAGCCACCTTGCCTCGATGGTGGAGGTTGAGATTGACGAGGAAGAAGAAGGGGGTGCCAGGACTGTGGCGTGGGTTGGAAGAGGAGGATGACAAAGACGACACAGGGTTGAACCAGCTCTACATCCACGTGCACGAGAAGATCCGGGGGACCAGGACTTGGGTGACGAGGTGTGCTTCATGCAAACAACACATGATGGGGGTGGCATCCCGCTGGCCATCCAACGAGCTCTGCATGGTTCACTTGGTACAGTACGGCCCGTGCGCAAGCACAAACCCTACAAAGGCGACTGCGCCAGCTTCAGGCGTCTATGGCTGAATGGAACGACATCATCGCAACCACCCAGGCCCTCCTCCTCGTGGTGATTGAGTCTGGTGAGAATGAGGCGGCATGTGGTAGAGATGCCCGAGCTGAAGTTGCGGAGGCTTGGGCCGAGGAGTGGGCGGGCAGATTGCGGCCGTCATCGGAACTTTGCCATCGTTGACTGGCGCAAGCAGCTCTTCGGATGTTGTGTTGTCTTGGTGGAGAGCGGTGGGCCGGTGGAGTCGGTTGATCGGCTGCTGGAAATGGAAGAAGAGGAACTTCTCAAGGATGCAAGAGATGGACTGGCACTGGAAGATGTGGAGGCCAAGCATGAGGAGGAGATCGCGACCCACCTAAAAGGGGCCAGAGAAGTTTGGAGCCAGGAAGAGTCAATGAGGGCCCGAGCGTGGGATGATTGGGCTATGTACGATGCCCTGTATGGAACATCTCCGACGGTGCCTACCATGAGGGAGAGGTTACGCCTGAACATTGAGACGGGCAACTTCGAAGGACAACCGGGAGTAACCAAGCATTGGCGAGTACCGCTGGCCTATCCCACTGTAAGTCCCGTTCAAGTCACGCTAACGATCGCAGAAGACCTCGAGCAGGACCCAGAAGAGGTGGAAACAGTCCGTGTCAGAGAACCGTCGGTGGGATCACAGGACTGTGGTAGAACATCACAGGCGAGACCAGTGGCACTACCAGCACTGTTCCCGGCGTTACAGGAACCACGAGGGACGGTGGCACTCGCGACACTTGATGCACCTGCTCTGCAGCATGGTGGAGTCCGCGACTTGGACTTTGATGAGTTGAGGACTATCTGGAAGGACTGGCGATGTGGCTTGTACACCAATGAACTCACCAATGACTTCATAGTGCAAAGGTGGGGGCCAATGGCGCTGGACGTACTACAGATCCAGGAAGTGGCTCACACAGGGCAACTGGACACGCAGCCACATGATGATGGGTGGAGAAGACGTCGGGGGAGAGGGAGTTGCCGCAGGAAATGAAGACACGGTCTTGCATGGTGATGGTGATGGAGATGGTGATCCAGGATCTGGTCAACGGCAAGCAAGTGCAGAGGATGGTGAAGGGCATATGAGTTCGAAAAGGGGCAAGCATGCGAGCGACCGACGACCGAAGAAACCGAAGCACAAGTGCAGGGCTGAGGTTTAACTGAAGCGAAGGCGACAGGCAATGTCCAGTCAGTACCTGCCCTATGGGGCTATCCGTCAGCAACCAGCAGTCGGAAAAAAGGGTCAAAAATGACTTTAAGCCCTAAGCCAGAAAGCTCTGGTACTTTCGGTTTCATTAGTACTGTTGTAATCTTGGTTCTATTAAAATTAATACAATCCTAGGCCCCCCCCTAATGTTTTGAATAACTTTTTATTGTGGGCCCGAAACCGCAACATCCCGGGGCCGGTAGATTTTAATATGAGGGCGGGTTTAATGTTAGTGGGATGCGATTAGCCCATCTGCAAACGGTGAAGGGACATTCACGCGGTATACCATTGATTTCTGTGCAGAGGTGGAGCAGCTGCGAGAGATCCAGAGGAGTTTTTGCAGCTCCGTGCTCAGATCGTGGGAGGGATTCACAAAATCATGATTCGACTGTCCCGAGAGACGTCCTGAGCGCACGCAATTTGTAAGGAGGTGCTTCCTCAACAACAGAAGTAGACTTTCTACTGCGACCGCATGCGATTTCCACAATAAAGTGGGCTCCCTAGGTTTGCATGAAGGCTATCGAGACAACGAAGCCTGGCTGCGAAAGTTGTTTGGGGTTCGGTGTTTGTTGGTTATGTGTTTTGTGAATGCTTGCCGTGGTGCGCGGTGGAAGATCGTTCGCAGTCGTCAGCGATCGCACGTAGCAGTGCCGAATCAGGTCTTGCGATTTGGCCAGCTCCGTGGCGAGCGGGCCGCAACGCACCTGCCGTATCAGGTCCGTCCTGGGACAGACCGAGCTACGAATACCTATAGGTCTCGCGAGACGGTGAGTAAGCCTTGTACTGACTTCGACATGCCAGGCACCCTTCAACAATATCCAGCTTCTGGGAACAGACTACGCTTTGCGCGACACGCTGGCAGGCTACCTGGGAGAGGAGTGTGAGCCGCATGGCGGCGCACAAGCACAGCAGCCAGTAATCAGGTGAGCCTCGCGCACATCTGTAAGCATTTCCGGCGGGACCTTCAAGCTCGCGAGGACTAAACCACACAGGACGAGCGATAGTAGTCCTGAATGTTTCTTCTGGCTCACATATGTCTCTTTATGAATTATGAGCCCTGCCCACACATCTGTGAGCGTGAACCTTTGCGGGCTTTCGCCGGTTTCGCAGGGGCCTCCACCAATAGAGTGAACACAATCGATGCTGTCTGAATCAGAGGCTGGAAAGTGCCATGATCATCACGGTCGACCCTGGGGCTCCTGCACAAAATGCGCACGTGGACACCCAGGATGAGGGCAGCGTGTCTGTGCACGTACCCTTGCACTCGCTTCACGACGGACACTTGGCCAAGACGTGCAATTGAATCAGGTTTTGGTTGAAGCTCGCTCCTACCCGTGCAACTGTTGTGTTGGATGCTTGATCGTGGTCTATGCTTATATGTATTACTAATCACAGTGGCTGCTTGGTGAACCCACTCCCCTTTGCAACAGCAACCGGCCTGTCTTGCAGACTTCCAGGATTTGCGCCGCTGGGTTTCTGCATGGGCTCGCATACAGATCCAAGTGCAGCTTGGCACTGAAGGAGCATGTTAGCTTGGCCGTGTACCGTACACCAACAGTCACCACCTTTGCCAAGCAGACTTTGCTGGCTTTCTTAATCCGATACCAGTAACTCTAAACATGACAATGTTAGGATGGAGGAACTCGCCAACTGCGCAAGACTCACGCCACCATGTCCTGTTTGACACATCAGCTGTGATGGGTCGAAATCTTCCCAGGTCCTTTCCGCTCCTCCGCGACTCAAGCTGCGGGGTGCGGAGCGCCGTCAGAAAGCTGAGAAGGCGCTTCACAGGCAGGGCACGTTCTGCTACTACAGTAGTGGCTGCTTGGATATTGAGGAGTCGTGGGGCAACATGTAAGGTGGACGATCCAAAGATGATGCGTTGTTACAACTACTGTCTGCAGTCCACGTAGGGGAGCCTTCGAATTCGAGCTGTCTTTCAATCCAGAGGTAGCTTCTTTGCGTGCTGTCGGCAGGCAAACGCGTGCCACAGCAAAGGAAGAGCACTTTCTGCAGTGGGGCCCCAGCGAGGCGGAGATGGTGCATGTTGTTCTTATAAAAGTCTGCTTGGTGAAGTAGTAGTGCCACTGCAGAGCCGTTCTTATTCGTGTGCGTCTGTGATGTGCTGGAAGGGCCAGGCCACCTGATTCGGTGTTTTTGCAACCTCAACCTCGCGGGTTCATGGAGGCAGATCATGGAAGGACAGGACAGCAGCACTGAGATCTGCGGCCCCAAGACATTCCGCACCTCTGACAGAAAACATCAGACAATGCCTCCGGCCTTGCGCACCGTGCGGCACGGGGCAGGCAAGCCAACGGCGACCTCGGTTACAGCACACCTGGACGCCCACACCCCTACCCAGGGTGCAACAAAGTCCCTGAGACACTGGCGACATATCTGGACAGAGCGACGATGGCACCAGTACCCAACTAGTCTGCGAAGCCGCAATTCTAGCATGGACTGATCTGTTGGGTACAAAGCCTCAGCTTTCATGCCGTAAACTCGAGAGGGGGCACCGTGCGGTTTCTGGTGTCCCAGTGCTTAGCGGCAGGTGGCCTTGCTGCCAGCTGTGGATTTCCGAAGAGGACAGGGCTTTGCCCACAGTGAGTTGGTGACTGCAGCGCATGCGGGATCGCAAGCCGGTCAGGAGCCATGCGCGTCCTGGTTCGCAACTTCCGCGATGATGCGGCAAAGGCATCTTGTCAAAATTGCTCGTAGGCCTGTGCTCGCATGAAGCTCTGTGCTTTGCCAAGGCTTTGGGCCTCCAACAAGGCGACGAGGCAGAAGAACTGGCCGTAGACGGGTAGGCATGTTTTTTTGTCCTAGAAGCACTGGGTACCGTTTGTTCTTGGAGTGTGGGCTGCCCAATCGGCCCGGCGCCCGCAGCCTGCAATGATACTATCGGGTTTCCTTCTACCAGAGAAAGGGTGAACGGGCATAATCGATTTTAGGCCATCCATGCCCCTCCCGATACGGCCCACATGCACTGCATGTGCAAGAGTCAAGAGGTAACTCACGTGAACGATCTGGACTTCGTGAGCTGGCTTGAGGCCTTGTGCATTGTGTGGGTATAGTGATGATACTTGATGAGCATGAATAGAACTGAATGGATCTGAATGATCGTTTGCGCCTGGACAGGTGAAAGACCATGTGCCGGAACTCAGAGACAACATAGTGGCCAGGGTGCTCAGACCCGTCACAGAGCCTAATGCTGCAGAAGATCTCAAGGAGGACTGGCGACGGGTGTCGCCTGCGTGGCGGGCTGGCAGGGGTGTAAACGTTGGTAAGTCGCAGGAGCTGCCAGCTCTCTCTGCAGCTTCTGCAAATTCAAGATGCTTGGCAGAAGTAGACGCTTGAAGTTACTGCGAAATATACTGAACCGACTGGATCGGTCCTTGAAGGCCCTTCGCAAGCACCTTCAAGTGTCTCTGGCAGCAAACCAGCAGTTGTTTGAATATGCCTGTCGAGTGATATGACAACCTTCGCCCTTAGGGCTGCGGGCTTGGTTCAACACCAAGCGCCATGCTGATCGAATGCTGGTCGGAGCGCCGCTCAACATCGGAGATGCACTGATTTATGATTCCAGGCCCGGCCGGGAAAGGGCTTCAAGTCCAGCGGCTCGGAGACACTATGTCACTTTTGAACGGTTCTGGGCGTGGAGAGTGAGTGAAGTCAAGAGTGAGTGAAGTCAAGCTTACACGCCACACTTGGAAGGACAGTGCATTGGGGAATGGCGAACTGCGAAAGCTATCCCCGTTATGTCCTCTACTTGAACCTCAAGAGGCTGCGTGCATGTGGTTTCCACAATACACACGAAGGTGTGTGGATTTCACAGAGTACGATGCAGGGCGCTTTCACAATGGTCGTCAGACACCATGTCTAGCTTCGATGCAGGGGCGACTTTCAGGGCTGCTCTCCAGATGCGATTGCAAAACGCTCGGCTTCCTGGCACTCTATGACCTCCTGGCGTGCGAATCTTTCAGTGGGAGAGAGGCTTGCATCACACTCCGTGCACATCCCGCACCGCGTGGTCCGCAGTGCAGATAGTAACATACGCCGCCTGGGTGTTTCCGTGTGCGATAAAGTCAGAGCCTCGCAAGTTGAACTCCGAAAACTTTGACATCCCAGGCTTCTGCCCGCTGCTTGCAGGAACGAGGCCGCTTTCAAGACAGGTTGCTACAGCTGCATTAGCAAGACTAAATGAAACCACGTGATTGCTCAGCAAGTTGTCGATGGAGCAAGCCCACCTGCCAGCTGGACTGTCGTCTCGCCCTGCATGCAGCCCAGGTTCAAGCGAGCATTGCACTACATGGCATAGTCGCCTTGCAGTGGCTGGATCTTAGACTGCGCCAGCCAAAGAGGTTCGCAGAGAAAAGTGCAAGCGTTGGGCATGGGAGCCGAACCTTCAGTGCAGACGTCGACTCGCATCGCCTTAGCCAATCATGTATTTTGCTTGAGGTTCTGTCGTGCCGTTGGGCCCCATACCTCCAGTCAGATGCCTGGCCGAGCATGACCATCTGCGTATGCTGTAGCTGCTGTAGCTCCACGCTTGAAGGACTCAGTGCTGGGTCGTGCTCTTGCTCAGGGCGGCAGTACGAGGCACTGTATGCGAGCCGTATGGATTCGGTTCAAATTTAGAGCTGGAGCTCAGGCGCGGGGGAAGCATGCCGCAGCGCACCCGTAGCAACCGGTCCGTGAATGCAATGAACCAGTGCAGCGGCTTAGCAAGCCTCGGGTGCTAATTGAATCCAACATGTCGTATGCATGCAATGATTGAGTTCGAGGCCGGTGACCTTTCACAAGAAGGCCTTCGGCATTCATTGTGATCTTGACAGTGGCAGAGCAGAATCCCGAGAACAGGCATGCTGGCTCAAGGTTCGCAAGCAGGTGAACAAGACTTCGTCCCTAGTTTCAACACATTATTGCTTTGCACGTGGCTATGGCTATGCAGATCGAAACTGTGTGGAAGAAGAGAGAGGGAGAGAGAGACATCTCTCTCTCTCTATATATATATATATTTACGGGCTG